ATTTAGGCAGCTTTTTATAAAGTTAAATATGCTTGTTATATGACACAGTAATGCCAAGCCTAGTTTGTGTTTTTTTTTTTACCATACAGAAGTAAAAACCAAAAATTTTCATACAGGTTCATGCAAAACCTGTATATGAATGTTTATAGCAGCATTATTTTTACTCGACAGCTATTAGAAATAACACCAATATCTTTAATGAGTGGATAAACAAACTGAAGTACTGATACACATTAACTTGGATGAATCTCAAAAGCATTATTGCTGAATAAAACAGTGTCTTGAAAGTTTATGTACTGTATCATTCTGTTGATATGACATCCTGGAAAAACCAAAACCACAGGAATGGAGATCAGATGAGTGGTTGCTAGACGTTGCAGGTAGAGAGCATGTGTAAATACAAAGGGGCAGGACAATCGAGTTTTGGCTGGAGAATGAACTGTTCTGTATTTTTATTATGATGAAAGTTACATCAATCTATACATGTTTTAAAACTTACGGAACTGTACACCAAGAAGAGAGATTTTTTATGTATGTAAATTTTTTAAATCATAGCAATTCAAGATATTTTAGAAGCAATAAAATGTTGATTAGGAATCTAGCATCATTATTCATGTTTACTTAAAAATAGAACTGCAGAAGACATTGTAAAAAGAAATCCCAATGTTAAAAAGGCTGGCAACAGATTCTATTAATTTCTGTTAAATTATAAGCTCATAACAAGCTTGCCTTTTTCAGTGTTTCTTTCCTAGTGTAGTGTTACATAATAATAATGCAAACAGTAATATTTGTTAAATAGTACTGAGTTGAGAAAAGTGAACATTTCAGATACTTTAATTGGCTTAGGGTTTACTGGGGCTTCCTTTACTACAGAGAGGAGCCACTTTTGTGAATCTTGTTAACTAGTCAGGCTTAATGGAAAAGTCATTTAAAAATGTTTTTTCACTGGCAAAGATATAATTGCATTCATTAATTCACATATAAACTAGACATTTCATAGGTAAAAGGCTGATAAATTTGAGATGTGCATCAAATAGAACAATATAGTTAAATAGACTATTAGTTTCCTTTCAGTTACCTAATTATCACTTTTGGTTAGTCAGTTTACACATTTTTAAAATGACAATATTCTTGCTCTACATAAAGATTGTGGAATTTGAATGGGAAACTCAACATAAAAGCATTTTGCAGAGGGTCTCTGTGTGAAGAAATTTCATGTAATAATCAAATTTCTTCCTCTTTGTCTCAAAAGAGGTTTCCTCAAGTTTTTAAAAACATGCCATTAAGCATCCTGGGGGAGGGTAAATTGCTCACAAATAAATAACGATGGATGTGAAGTTAGAGTGCAGAGTAAATCATTAGGACAAACATTAAAAAGAAAAGAAAAAAAAATGCAGACTCAAGCACACACATGTGCACACACACAAATATACAAACTAAAATGGATCGTAATGAAGCGGCTTTCTGGTTCAGTTTTCAGGCAGAAAATAACTAAGTCCTTTTTAATGACATATGACTTGGAAGTGGGCCAGTCAAGTTGCTCCCTGGTACCTGGGTCCCACATTTCAACTCGTGAAAACTTGTGGGATTCTGTTTTTAGGTTTGCCCACAACACTGCACTCCTCTCTATACCTTCCTCTCCCTATTCGGATACCACATTATCCTACTAATGCCACCATTTTCTGGGAAGCAAGAACTGAATTAGAACAACGGATTTCCAGTCCCTGCTCAGATGGGTCTGGGATTTCTTTTTAATGATGCACTTTAGACAAACTGGAGATTTGTTTAGAAACAACTAAAGTTTAGGTCAATATTTTTAAAAAATGTATTAAGCTATTAATAGATAATCTAGTCTTCCTGGAAGGAAACAGCTATATTGGAGCCTTGTTAGGATATTTGTTTTATTGAACCCCTCCCTGAGGCAGTCTTATAATGAAGCTGTTTAACTAAAGAACCTTGGACTCTGTCTAAGGCATGCTTCTTTAAGTGGATTCTCTCTGTAATGGATAGTGTTGTGGTGAGCCTCTGAGAATATGGTAAGGTTACAGATTTTGGGGCAGCCATTTTTTAATTACAAATAGTCATTCCTTTTATTTTTTCAACATTGCAACAAAGACCTATGTTTTACAAAGATGCATTTCAAGTTACCTTTGGTCAATACCTGAAATGCCTCAAGCCATTCTGGTTAAAAAATAAGGTAGTATTTTAGATAAGAAAAATATTTATCATTATAAATTCAAGAAGCTGATTATATAACAAAGGCGGTGAATTATATTATGTATAATATATACATTTAATGAGAATGAAACATGTTCTTTACCATATTTTCATTTTCATTATTTTTAAAAACAACTTTTTCTGGTGTTCTAATAAACATTTCTACTTAAGATTGATTCTAACAATTATTTAGTCATGGTGGTGGTATGAAAATTTATAAGATTATATTCTCTATAATTATTAAGTCCAGTCTATTGCATATATGAAAGAATAATATCAAGATTTAAAATAAAGGCAAAAGATGTGTAATTATTGGTAATTATTTTTATTTCCTCTAGAAGAATAGGTTCAAAGAGCAAAATGTTTTGGTAAACTGTGCACACCGTGTGTGTGTGCGTGTGTGTGTATATGTATGTGTATGTAGTAATTTATTCATTTTAAAGAAATAGGATTGAACTTTAAGATGTTACTTTTTTAAGAGAAAGGAAAATATTGAAGAAATTATAAATGAAGTCAAGCAAAATTAAAAACCTGGTATTGAGTACTCTAGTCTTACACATCCACAAGCATGCTAATAACAAGAGAGAATCCATTTTCATTTAAAGAACATCTAAATTGTAATGAAATACTTTAAGGTAAACATTCTGAATGGTAGAATTTAATCTTATATCAGCTAATAAAAATGCTTTATGGCTTCATAAAATTCACATGATTTTCTAATGATGTTTACTCTTCCTTATAGGTAACTCATTAATTGACCAATGGACATATAGATACAGCAATATATGTAATGCCTAACAATGGTAATGAAGAATATCACAAACTCAGAATATTAAAACTGAATCAATATCAGTTAGTACAACTTGTATACCTTATAAATGAAAAAAAGAGCACTATTCTACAATAACCTAAGCTTTATGAATAAACTCTAAGTCTCCTGAAAATATAAGCTGTAAAATATTCAGTGTTAAGTCTTGTGTCCTTGGATATTCATAAATTCTTTTGTGAGTATTACCTATAAATGTTTCCATTTTTTCAAGAATATGTTTCAAATGTTCCAATACATAGAAGAATTTTGCATTTGCCCATAGTATGTAACAGAAAAAAAAACACTTTAAAGTAAAAACATTTTTTTTTCGTTTCTGACAAGTGTACTGCATTTTTAAAGTAGAACACCACCTCCTCCTGTCAAATCCCTCCAAACTGTATAAAAATTATACAGACCTATTTCATTCATAAAAATATCAAACATGCAAACCTTATGTTAAGTAGAGTTCTGCTACCAGAGTGATAAACAGCAAAGTCTATGGACAAACAGCAAAGGTAACACTTGGGAGCTTGCTAGAAATGCACAATCTCAGGCAGCACTGATTTAATACACTCATTGGTCTAATTTCTATAAAGTAACCATATCTAAACGAGTACATACGTAAGTATTCCATATATATCCTTTACTTTAGTAGTAGTCAAAATCTAGTGTGTAAAAGAATGACTGGCATAGTTTGCAAAAAAGAAAGCAATTTTTCAAGTGTTTTCTCAGAGTTTAAAATTCAAAAGGTCTAGGATCAGGCTTGGTTTTTCCACAATCTCCTGAACTGAATTAAAGTTAGTGATAACATCAATTCTTGTTGACAGCTCCAAATCATGGCAAAATACTTAATGTATTTTGCTAAATATATTAGATAACATGCAAACTATTTCTTTTAAATTTTGAAATGCTTCAAACTTTTTCTGAAACTGTTAATCATAGAATTAAAAATTTGTCATTAAATGGACCTGGTTCCATGTATGGGACATGATTAAATCATAATTTTTCCCAATAAATATTGTTATTTCAGCCAAAAGATAGATAACAAAGTAGTTTACTAGAGACCTTGAAGTTGACACTGCAATATATCTGCAGAGTGTCACTTATAACTATTTAGGGGTCTCAAACACAAATGCACCAGTAGCCACTCAGGTAACCAATAGTAGAAGCAAGGAATGTGATACCCTATTTACAGATATTCAAGTTCAAAACCTAAATACCCAATGTAGAGCAAACAAGAACACCTCTAAGGGCAGCCTTCAGCCTCACAACCTATCATTTTCCAGTATCTGTGCTAGCATGTTTTCTTTAATTAATTCTCCAGTGACTCACCAAAGGCCATTATTTTTGTTGTTAATTTGTTCATATGGTTCATGTGGAGACTTTTGGGAACTTGTAGTTTGGATTTTACTTGCAACAGCAAAACTTAATGATATACTAGATTTGTAAACTACATCAGTCATATAAAGCCGAGTAGATTTTTTTTTTTTTTGGTAGAGATAGGGTCTTGTTATTATGTTGTTCAGACTGGTCTTGAACTCCTGACCTCAAGCCATCCTCCCACCACATCCTCTCAAAGTGCTAGGATTACAGGCATGAGCCACTAGGCCTGGCCTGCCAAGTGGATTTTTAATGATTTAGAAAAATAAGTTATAGGTATAATCTAAAATTTACATGGCCCTATTTTTTTTCCTAACAGGTTTTGTCATGGAGCCATACAGAAGATGTTTATTTTGCATTTTCTGCTTACACTGTACACTGATTTCACATAAGTGACAATTAGAATTTTTGTGGAGCACCTACCTGTCTTTTACATCATTTGTTATTGCTTTTTATGTATAAGTATATAATACTAATTTACTTTGGTGCTTGAATCTGAATAATTATGAAAGATTTAAGATGCTCAGAAACGTGTTTCCAAATTTCACCGAGAGGTATCTTTACACTACAACTTTTGAAATGAAAAACAGACCTGTTCACATGTTCAATATGTACTTTTATTTTAAACAACAGCACAAGAAACACAATGACGTAACAGGACCATCACCTTAATACTGATATCATTCCTTGACAAGTTGACTTATAATTTACATACATTGTTTTCATCTGGAGCTATTTTAAATACTAAGATATACTGTAAAACATAAATACTAAATATATACCAGTTGCAAACATAATGTGCTTAGTTACTGTTTCTATTGTTATTCAAATGAAGTAATTTAAAGTTCCTCAAAATCATGTCCACTTGTGTTCATTATTTCAGGATGCATGACTCGTCCCATGAATAGGATTGTACCTGTATTGGTTTGGAAGTGAACAAAAAAGGGGTGAAAAAAAGAATGGGGTATTTATTTTACTAATTGCTTACAATTATTGATGTTCTAAAAATGAAAATATAAGTTATTTTCATTTTACAAAAGCATTTAAACATTAGAAATTATATGATAAATACTGTGAAAAAAGTTCTCAATTTTAATAAAAGTTTCTTTGTGGCCTAGTAAATAAAATTTTGTTTTCGTAACAGACTCACCAATTCTCCTGTTTCTGATAAGAAAGAAAAATGGATGGTCCACAATAACTTGAGGATACAGCACAGCCATCCTACTAATTGCAATCATTCCTATGATGCAGAGAAAAAGTAGTTACATGTCTGTGGATGTGCAGAGACCAATGAGTAATTTCTCAGATCTATGTCTATCCATTTAAGACAAAGGCAACAATTTACAGGAAACAAGATTTTTAAAGACTTAAAGAGAGAAAAATCATAACTGTGTTAATGTTTCTACTTGATCTTTTTAAACAACAAAGCAAACACATACCACACACAATTTCCTCCCTCTACCCCACCAAAAATAATGAGACAATTTATTCTGCTTGTTATTAAATTTTTATCATCAACCTCAGAAAAATACGTGTAAGCCTTTACTAAAATGACTTTTGAGTTAAAGGAAGGAAAAGAAAGAAAAAAAACCTCCCCAAACAAAAAACTAAGACAGCTTCTTTATATTTTCAAATCATTATTTCTGTTAAGGGTATTTACACATAGCAAGTCACCAGGCTTCCAGTAAGAGGTCAGGATGGCAGTGATTAAAGGAAAAATACAGTCGTGAGAGACGCAATGGAGTTTCCTACAGCTGGGATACTAAATTCCCCTGAGATCCTTATTACAGGATGATGGTTGTGGACTTGCCACAATGTAGTTAATTGCTAGAAAAAAAAGTCGAGATTAAATTATGTAAGATTTTAAGCTTTCTGGCTGCCTGAGACTACTGTGTTTCTATTTCCTCCTGAAAATATTGCTTTGACTTTTGATATTCCTTTAGTGGACAAATATATGCAGAAGTTAGGAATAATGTGCAAATATAATATGCTAACATTTTACTCAGGAGGCAAAAATCCTACTAAAATTTGATGCTAGCTGTTTGCATGAGATTGAAACAAATGCAAACAAAATGAGGCAGAAAAGGCAACAGAAAAAAATCATTCTCAGTTAACTAGGGCAGTCAAAACTATCAAAATGATTAAGGATATTTACCACTGTACTTTGGACACATAATTTATGTCAAAATGTTAGGATTATTTATTTAAAATTATTTTATTAGTGTAATTTAGTTAAAAGTATTTAAAAATATTTATTACATTCTATCATACACTCTCACTTATACATATGCTTTTTTTAAAAAATCAAAACTTTTCACTGACAAAATTAAGAACCACCTTCAGCAAGTAAATAGGCAGAAAGAAAAATGTTTAAATGGGCAACAAGAAAATATTTAAAATATTTAAACAGACAGCACAGCAGAAAAATCTATTCTCACAGAACTGCCAATGTCCTTCTATCTCTCATTAGAGAGAAAACTAAGACCACAGTTACTCTGTAAAGGGGCACTGGAATGAGTCCGCATTTCACACCCTATTTAGAAAATCCAAGCTGGTTCAGCATTTGCTTGATGTCTTAGTTAGAGGAGAGTCAGTTTTTTGGCTTGGTCCTAAAAATGACCTGCACCTCCACCCAAGATTGCTTTAAAAATACAAATCTAGAAGAGGTAAGAAGACTTTAGAAAATAGCTTAGTACCTGAAGCAGCAGCAGCTTCTGAGCCTTCTTCATTAACCTCTAAGAAGGACTTGTGAATTACTTTGGAAAGGAAAATCTCTTTGTTATCTGAAAAAAGAGAATCAGAAGCATTTCTTTAGCATCAGAGATAGGAAAACATTTTGCCCTTTTGTTAAATAGGTTTGAGAGATAATGAGAGACTAAGATACTGATATAAAACCTAAGAGATAATGTTACAAGGTTTCATTTATGATATGAAAGAACCATGGAAGATGTGGTTTCTAATTTGCTCTCATTTTATATTCTGCCCTTATTTTTTATTGGTAATTTTCCCATTGTTTATTTCTTATAATTCCACAAAAAGTGAAAACTGTTTTTAATAGCGACTTCAAATTAGTTCATAATTCAAGATAAAAACATCTTACACTTTGCTTTCTAATTTGAAATTTAAAAATATAAAATGAAAACAGGTAAAAATTCAGATATGACCAGAATAAAAAAATATTTTTCTTTTTTTAACCTAATCTCTAATTACTATGATAATGTAAATATCCTTGACAAAATAAAATAAAATGGACTTCTAGGTTGTAGAAATGTGAATATATAAAAAAGTTACTTTCTATTCCAGTTAATTGGCTTATCTGATATTCACAAACATGTTTTATCCTAAAATTAGGAAATAACACATTTTTAGTACCAGGAGGACTATTTTTCCCTTTGAATTGCCTTTCTATGTATGCTTACTTTTAAGTTAATAGCTATTATGCTCTGAATTGTGTTCCCCCCAAATTCCTATATTGAATTTCTAACCCCCAGTACTTCAGATTGTGACTATATCTGGAGATAAGGTCTTAAATTAAAATGAGGTCACTGAGGGGGCCCTATTCCAGTATGACTAGTGCTCTTATAAGAAGAGGAAATTTGCACACTGATAAGTGCAGAGGGACGACCATGCGTTACAGTTAATTTTATGTGTCAACTTGACTGAGCCATGGTGCCCAGATATTTGGTCAAATGTTATTCTGGATGTTTCCATGAAGGAATTTTTGGGTGAGATTAACGTTTAAATTGGTGGACTTTGTGTAAAGCAGATTACTCTCATAATGTGAGTGGGCCTCATTCAATCAGCTGAGGATCTTAATAGAACAAAGATAGATAGACCTTTACCCCTAGCAAGGAGGAATTCTGCCAGTAGACTGCCTTTGGACTGCAATTTTTCCCTGGGTCTCTAAGGTTCTGAATTTCTAAAGCCTCCACAATCATGTGAGCCAATTCCTTCAAATAAATTGTTAATAAAATAATAATAAAATTAAATAATATATACATTTGACTTACATATATGTGATTTATATTTAACTAAATGTATATAAAATCCTGTCTAATATACCATGTGAAGACAGAGGGAGAAGACCACCATCTATAAGCCAAGAAGAAAAGTTGCAGAAGAAATCAACCCTGCTGATATCTATCTCAGGACTTATAGCTTTTGGAACTGTGAGAAAATACATTTCTGTTTTTTAAGCCAATCAGTCTGTGGCACTTTGTCATGGTAGTCCTGGCAAACTATAACATGGCTTTCAGTCTTGGTTTTTCACCTTTTTCCAAGATTAAAAGAAAATGAACAAAATATATCCCAAATACATAAAAAGAAAACCAGCACAAGAAAGCAAGATAAAGGATTACTCAAATTTATACCCCACTTTTTTCCTTTGCCAGGAAGTCTAATTCAAATTTAAGATAAATAACTTTGTTACTAATGTTCAGCACCATTCAGTAAAAGCACAATTGATTTCCCATTAGGCTGCTTAGTAAGACTTTGTAAGTAACCAAATCCTACCCACAATGTACATTTTCCCTTCAAGTTTCTAAAAACACATAATTACCTTATATGCATAGGGAATGATGCTCAATAACATTTTTGGTGCATCTGTTGCACAGCACCTAATTATTTTAAATAAGCCCCCAGATAACTAACAATGGCATCTTGGAATATACTTTTAATAGGAATATTACTTCCTCAGATCATATTTAGTAGTAAGATATAAGTGCTGCATTATTAAATAGTCCATTTCACATGTTATGCTATTTTCTTCTAGAATGCATTTGATGACTAGAAGAAAAATAAAAAGCAATCAAGTTTTCACATTTAGAAATTAAGCATAATTAGTTCCCTCACATTCAGAGTAGTTTGTTTTTAATAAAAAAAATTAAAATTGTAAGTAACCAAATATATGTAGTTAGTAAAAAGCACATGAATTTCAAGACAATAAAATATGTTAACTATTTAGTAGTTCATTAATGCTATATTATTTTCAGATTCTGCTGCCCATTTTCACCAATCTGCCAGGTAAAGGAGGGCCATGTGTCCAGAGCCCATATAGTGGTTCTCTGTGCAAAAGCAACAGAACCCACTTCCTTAGGGGTAATGAATGTCCACATTGCTAGATAGGCCCTCCTTAATTGTTCTGAGGGGAGTTCTCTTCAAAGACACTGAATGATACTTCAACCACATCAATCTGCAAAGAGAAAACTACCTCCAAGAGCTACTAGATACAACCTGCTGGCCTCACTGGGCACATAGAAATAAGAAAAATCATCCCTTGGGCCAGGTGTGGTGGCTCATGTCTGTAATGGCAGGGCTTTGGGAGGCTGAGGTGGGAGGATCTCTTGAAGCCAGGAATTCAAGAGCAGCCTGGGCAACATAGAGAGACCTCATCTCTACAAAAAATAAAATAAAATAAGAACCATCCCATTGTTTCTGGCCTCTGTCCCAAGTGTTGTAACCTCCTTCAGTCACCTGCTCACCCACATGCTCTCATTTATCCACACAAAATGGTAGTGATGGCAGTGGCAGAGATACTGCAAGGTACTTGTGGCAGAAAATTGAGAAAGCATGGTTGCTGGCTGCCTGTGGTAGCTTACATGTGTAATCTTAGCACTTTGTGGGGCTGAGGCAAAAGGATTTCTTGAGGCCAAGAATTCAAGACTAACCTGAGCAACACAGTGAGACCCCATCCCTACAAAAAATTTTTTTAAAAATTAACTGGGCATGGTGGTGTGTTCTTGTAGTCCCAGCTTCTCTGGTGGCTGAGGCAGAAGAGTAGCTTGAGCCCAGGAATTTGAGTTTTCTGTGAGCTAGACTAATGCCACGGCACTTGATTGGGCAACAGAGTGAGACACTGTCTCAAAAAAAAAAAAAAAAAAAAGCAAGGATGCAGGATGCTGAGGGTTCTTCTCAGAGAGCTAGTTATTTAAAAGACAATAAAATGGACAAACCTTTTAACAAATTTCATGAAGAAAAAAAGAGAAATTGCCCAAATAAGCAATACCAAGAACAAAATGAGAACATACCTAAAGATACAAAAGAGAATTTTTTAAAAATAATGAAAAATATATATGTATAATTTTCTATGCACCTGCAGACCTGCTCAGTATGCAAAACTAGGACCTCCATGAGGCTGCCTCGGCTTCACTCTCTTAGCATACTTCATCCCTTACACTGTCCTCTAGATTATCCAAACTGAAACAGCCTGGATATACCATATTTTATTATGTCTATGTCTTTGATTCTATAGAAACTCCCTAAACCTTTGTTGTACAGTGACATACTTAATCTACTTTTAAGGTTCAGCTTCTAGCCCTATGAGACTTTTTCTACTCTCCCCTAATTCACAAATCACTAATGTAGATCTGGTCATTCTTTCCCATTGAGCCCAGGAACTAACTCTATTGAAGCCTTTATAATATATCATATTTGCATTGATATCTCTCTCTTCTTGGACTGTCAACTTCCTGAACACAGGATTCTGTCATCCTTCTTAATATCTCTGGATTCTAGTAAATAGTTGAGTCTAAAGAATGAACTAACCTAAGTAGAGGAAGTTTTTTGGTAATGTGAAATTTTCTAGTATGTAACCCAGTACACTGCAATCTACAGGGTTTCAGTAATTGTTGAATGAAAGAGGTTAGCTACTGCATATTATATTTGGGTGCACCATCTTTTACTATTACTCTATGGACACTACAATGGCAGTTCTGTTCACAGTTATGGCTATAAAGTTTATTCTTGCAATAAATAAAACATATGACACTAATCCAAAGTATATGCTCTAAAGAAATTGAGAATAGCAACAGAAAGGGAAAGTGCAAAGCCCATACCATACTGAAAACCTTAAATATCTGGTCAAGAGGAAGCATAAAGGGAATAGAATCCAGGAGACCAGTGCGATTGTGTATATTTCAGAGACAGCAAAACAAAGATTGAATCCAGTGTTTAGATTCCAACAGTATGATTAACTGCAACACAATGTTAGCAAATGTCTGCATCTGCTATAAGGCCTCAGGACATTTAACCTTCAGAAAAACACCATCTTTTTGGATACACAAATAGGAGAAAATGTGACACATAAGAAATCACATCACAGATACCGAGGGGAAAAAAAGGAAATAAAGCTTTTTTCTCTTGGGACACACTTCAAGCAGTCACATTAAAATAAAATACCAGCAGAAAGTAGTTTAAGCAAGCATGTGTCTCTGCAAATCTTATATCAGTTCATGAAAGGATATCAGCAAGGTCATGACCCCTTAGCTTGCCTTCCAATATTACTCATTGCATGCTATTATGAAATAATCAAGACCATCTTTCCTGCTAGGCCATACACTCCTCAAGGGCCTGGGCCTTGCCTGTTCTATTCATCTTATCCACAATGCCTTGCACATTGCCAGGGACCAGGAATGCATTCTGACATTTGATGAATTGAATCAGAATATGAGGAGATATTAAGAAGATTTACACTGATGAATTTGTCCTACTGGTTAGAGAAAAGTTAGCTATTCTCTCAATAAATAAATCAAAAACAAACAGATTAAAAAAAAAAAAAATCTATACTCTAGCCCCAAGCAGCCTTCTCCTTCTGGCCACAGCAGACATTGCTGCCAAATGACTGGTCCAACTTTGCTCCAGGCAGTGGGAAGCTAGGCTTTTTACAATGGATGAGATGGGAAGAGAGCCAGCAAACTCTAGGTTCCCCAGAGAAGAGCTGGGCAATAATTCAAGCTCTTCTGAAGAAAGCAGGGCAAAGTACAAAGGCATTCATTCAGTTACTGAG